CAATATGCGGTAAGCTGAAATCACCACATACAAACTTATGTTTGTTGGAGATATTTGAGGCAGCGCTGATAGCATAAACTAGTTGTTCAGTATGGTGATTGGTAGCGTCAGGAGATCTATAGAAGCCACCCAATAGTAGGTCACTGGAAGAGATTGCTAGCCACAACGAATCTTCTAAGTCATTGAGGGTCAGAAGATTAACAGCCATCACTGTGATATCATTTCGAATGTAGATAGCGCATCCACCTCCTCGTTTTCTCAGACGAGTTTTTCGGAACAGATGGTAGTCAATAACTTGAAACTGAGGTTCACTTATATCTGAGTTGCACCATGTTACAGTAATGAAAATAAGCTGGCGAGTTTTAAGGCAGACGAAAATTGTAAGAAGATGCAATATAGATAGTAGTGAATGAATATTTACACCAGCTGCATCTAGCGAGTATACGGAAAGAGGTGTCGTAGGGAGGGTTAAGAGAGACTGATTGCTAGCATGAATATTGGTGATGTGCCACAGTGAGGCATTCGTGCTTTGGAGATCTCTAGATTGTATTCACTTCCATGGAGAAGATGTTCTACTACAGAGATCATCTGTTGATTCATGGACCTAGTAGTGGAAATCCCAGTGGTGGAGGATTATGTTGGGGTGTATGGTGTCCTTAAAAAGCTTGTGAGGGATTTCCATGACAGGGAATGCCGGCGGGACATGGAATAGTTGTTGTGGGAGTAGCTGAGGGATGCCCCAGGAATTCGAATTTCGGTCACTGGTTGCAGTTCCATTTATGTTAATGTGCTGCCAATTTGGGTTCGGAGACAGCTTTGGGATGTGATAGTGTTCAGCCGAGTTTCTACCATTGATCCCACAGCCAGATTTAGTGTCACTAGTTAACTCATTAACTCGTTCACTTCAGGAATGATTTAACGAGTCATGCCGACGCTCTGGAATATGTTGTGGCAGATATGTTGGGCGTTGAATGTTATGTGGTGTTGACAGAGAGCCATTCAATGATTTATAGTGATCTCTTTGATTGGTGGTGATGCCTTTATATGTAACTTGACTGTTGGATGTTTGCTTGTTTCTCACAGCCTTAATTGGGAAATTTCGCGCTATGGTTCTGCACTGTAGGGGATACAGGTGTCGTACACACAGCATCTTTTATGCACACGTTACTCGAAGATGGAACAGCCGAGATAGGGTTGGTTTCGTCTGTAATCTTAGTGAGATTTAGTTCCTGGGGTTGTTTCATTTTATTAGACGATTTAGTAGGTGTAGTGCTGCTCAGTGTATGAGCCGCAATGGTAAAGGTTTTAGTACGCGGAGGATCTCTCAGTGATACTAACGGTGTTCTGTCAAGCTTTACTTCACTGTCCACTCGGGGACTTGGTGGATAGTGGGTTAACACACTTGAAGACCTATTTGTCTGTTCTGCCCGCTGCTGAGGCTTTCTCCTCTTCAGGCTTCTTCTCATAACGTTTCGTGGATATCCATTGTAACACGCGGTACAGATGACTCTCCATCCTTCTCTCACAATTCTGTTGTGCTACAGTGGGGTTCCGTTCTCTTGAATAGAGTTTGTAGTTTGTGGTCCATCGGGTGGTTACTGTGTACTACATAATTTGTCCCGTATGTGTTTTCTCCCGATGTACGAAAGTTTGAATTGCTCTGTCGGTATCCCTGTGTACCAAAACATCCATGGATGGCAATTCATTGTTGTGGGAAGTTGACGCCATCGTATGTGTTGTTGATTGAATCGCGCGTACGTTGTAGTTAATTTCGTTTTATTTTGACAACTTTGTCGTCAATGTATAGAATAAATTGCAGTAATTGCCTAAAGTCTTATATGGGACAAACATGAAGCAGCTTATCGACTAGGAGGCAAGAACATTATTTGGCCTGCAAAAGACATTATACATCTTCACTTTTCTCAGCGCATTTTGAAGAGTAGAGACATAGCTACGACTGGAACAAAACAGATTCCGACTAAAAAAGGGACACCAAAAGGGAGGGAATTCCTCGGTGCATGGTTCTCCAATAATTCGATCAACATGCACATTGACATCGACTCCCTGTACTAACAACTGAGAAAGTTCGCCTGCGAATTGAAAGGTAAAGTTCGAAAGGAGACATGCAACTGACAGATCGAGCGACCGCTTCGGCCGCCGGGGAAAATGGGCAAAGACCACGGGACGCAAGTCGAAGGTGTCATTTCAAAGTCACCTGACCGTCGATCACGTTAGGGCGATTCAAAAGACAAGATTACCCTACGCACATAACCGCACTGACGATGCCACCCCATGTGGTGGCTTAACGTAAGCAGACATTTAACCAAGCCCGGCGAACCAATCAACTGAGGAACAATGAACCCGGCTACCAGTGTTTCAAGGCGTTGGATGGATCAGTGGTATGGTAATGGGTCCTAATTTCTTACTACGGCCACAGCAATGAGCCCTTATATGGGTGACCCCATTGGAGTTCATTTCAGATGTATATCCATAAAAGGAGAAATAAATAGCTATCCATAGTTCCAACAGTTCCCATGCACCTTTCGGTTTCATGTTTCCTGTTTTGCTCGGTTGTTTCCGGAGTAATTCATCATGTTCTTCTTGACAAGACGTCAATCTCAGTGGCGTTCCTGCTGTGAGTTTTTTTGTCCCTTCCCATCCCTTTTAGCCTCCCCCTTTAACCGCTATCTCATTTCGTACCGTAATAGAATTTTACATCATATTTTTCTTGCTGCGTCGGCCGGTGGACGGGTGATCTGCGCACCTGGTTTGCAACCATAAGGTCTCCGTTTCGAATCCGCGTAGGCGCGGGCGTTCTCGGGGTGTACCCTGCCCGCGTGCAACCAGTGGTCGCGCGGCAGCGAAGCGCCGTTACGGTCTATTCGTTGCCTAGTAGCCGGCTGGTAGCTGACCAAAACGATGTCCATCCGTTGCTGGTAGCTCAGCTAGCATGCAACTGTTATATTTATTTTCTTTTTTATCTATGTATTGCGGCACAGTAGCTGAGGGGTTTTATACCTCTAGCTAACGTGTGTAATGATGGTAAGTTCGTGGTTGATTGATGTGAATCCGTTATGCGAGATTATGGCGCAATTTTGTTCGTTTCCACGAAAACTAACCCCTAATAGTCAGCAACTCACTTTTTGCAAGGTATCTTGGACGATCTTTCGGCTCTCTATGTAGCGTCGCAAGTGTTACTTTGTGCACTAAGTTCTTCCATTTCCAGCGATTCACGTGAGACTATATGCTACTACTCCGTATGTCGCCCACACCTCCTGCACCTTTGGCACGCCTTATTTGTATAGTTGAGTAGTTAGATTTCCCTTCGTTTGGGTGACCTAACCGGTTGTACCCGTTGTTCAATGAAGTTTCCTGTTTTGATATTTATAGCTTACATAATCGCAATTACTCGATGTCGATAATGGTCATGACTGTCCACTTCACCAGTTGATAAACTACGCCTTTTCTGAGAATATCGCTCGACCAGTACCATGTGATCCTCTCAACTCAAGCAACCTACTTCCTGCTTATTTTTCACCAGCTAACTAGTATATTAGCAACCCGATAGGCACATTACCTATGACGAACTGTGTAGGTCTAGCAGTTGCTTCTCTGCCCACTGCTTTGTTCCGTCTGCACTACTCTAAAGGCGTCTCACTGTACTAATAGCTTAAATGGACGGGGACAGTATCCGTTGTTGAGAAGATTCGTCGCAGTTAGACTCATCCGAACAGCCACCATACATCCAGAAGGGCGCCACCGCCACATGGTCTAGTCATAAGATTTAGTACACTGGTATTATTCAAACCGTGCTTTATGCTGAGGTTGATGTTGCATACATCATGCTTCTTCTTTGCACTTGGGTTATACCAACTTGCACTTAAACTAGATCTGGATAAAAACCATTCCACTTTATCTGCCATGTTCCGTTATCTTATTCTACTGCGTCTTCTGTGTCAAATTATGTGTTGGTTGTTTAATATCTCCGGCGTTCACAAGGTGCCTATCTGTCGAACACCCTCCAACTCAATTACTGGCTCCAGAAGATTGTGAATCGTTGCGGGGGGGGGGGGGCGGGCTGCACGGTCCTCGTGGCCGTGCTAGACTCGAAGAGTGGTCCCATCCAGTATGGAGTGGACTACACCTGAGCCAGTAACTTGTGTACGTCTGGTAAGCATGATTTCCTATCTTGATAGACAGGAATGCTGCTGCTATGCATGTTAAAAGAATGTGGGCCGACTCCGTTGATGAAACGTGGGTTCAATCCGTATGCTTTCTGGTCTTATTCCTTCAGGTTTGCACTGGAAATAGGGTGTGTGGATGGAGCTGTGGGTGGTGCAGCGTATGCTACCCATGTTCCCTCTGTGGGCACAGTGATCCTGGGGTTGTCCCCATGGAGGCTGCAGTTACAGGTAAATCCGGAACTGGATGCCGCCAAGCATTATCCAGACCAAGTACAGAAGTCCGGAGTTCCCTGACCGTTTCCAACCAACGAATTCTGCACAGCTAGGCCTAACTTTCTTTGTAACTGATATTCTATATGCTGGTACCTCAGGCCTTCCTATAAATTGCTTCACGAGTTACTGCATAACTGCCCTTTCACTTTGTTTATAGCATTTTGTTCATTACTAGCAGGTATATTCTTCCTGTGAATTCCGAAACTCAAGCCCGAACCGGTCATTACTCGCATCACCTTTGCAACGTATTCCACATATGTGGCACTGAAGCACCTGTAGCTCGCTGTGTTTCGAAGCGGCTCTGTATGATTGCGCTTAAAGTACACGATGAGCACCGGTTTTAGGACACGTTTAGTGAGTGACTTACCAATTGGAGCGTACCGAGATACATCAATAATCCGTCATTTAGTCGCCTTTAATCCGATTTAGTTCACTCGTTGGTGCGATTTTCGATCACGCCCCTGGTTGTTTTTAATCATATTCTGATTCAAAATTTGGCTTATGTACTTACTGATTGTTATTTCTACACTTCTCTCCATTCAGGTGGCATCACATATATGTTTCCGCTGGCTAACAGTTTCATCCACGTCATAATGTATACCTACTATGGACTGGCCGCCGCTGGGTTGTACAAATACCTCTGGTGGAAAAACTACCTCACAATTGCTCAAATGGTTCAGTTCGTGATTCTGATTGTACACCAAGGTCAAATTTTTATCCGATCCGAGCCATGTGATTACCCCAAGGTGTTCCCTGCCGCCATTATTTTCTATGCGACAGTGTTTCTCATCCTTTTCGGAAATTTCTACGTGCAAGCCTATTGGCGAAAACAGCGTTTAGCGAAACGTTCCCGCAAACCATCTGAGTCGGGAGCCGTGGAGATGGTCACCATGGCCAATGGGGATGTTACCCCAAATCGACGCACCCTATCCAACGGGCATGTGCTGAAGTAGCACAGCTGAAGTCCACCTCGTGCATCGTACGGAATGGTTTTGCACTATTCGTATGATGCAACGTTTTGTTTTAGGCATGACAACGTTTTAAGCTGGCAAACTTTCATTCCACTCTCCCCCTCACGTTCACTGTTTACCCATCGTCTGTGGTTCGCGACACCTCCCCTTACCGCGGGATACACGTGCTTACCCTAGTACTATAAATGATGTTCCTTGATGGATTCACTAGCCGCAACTCTGCATCATTCGGACACGTGACAGCCACCTCCTTTGCAAATATTCTTCTGCTTTTGTTGTTTATTCGCTTTTTTGTTGGGTAGGTTGAACGGACACTACATGCCTGTTTTATTTTGTATTAGGTTCCGTTGTAATAACCTGATTTTCTACTGGCTATGTGCATTTCTCATTTCATAGGCCACATTTCTGTTTACACCCATTCCGAACATCTGTCCTATTTTCGGTGGATGGGGAAGTCACTCGAAATTTCTCAAAGCCGTGATAATTTCCTATGACCGGTGGACACAAATGTGAATTCGCTTTAGCGATTTCCAAATGGATTCACGTCCAGGCGATTTTCGTGTTTTCGACAGTGACTTGTACTAACCTGGCCGGTCAATCTGGCCCCTATTGCGTAGAGAGCCGCTCTAACTTCTCTTGGAATTAGGCTACCTAATTCTCTCGGGTTATTTAGCGTCTGAGCCAAGTGGTCTCATTGCTACCGACACGTTAGTGCCTTATAACATTTTTCATTTCCAAGCTCTGCAATCTTCCAAAGAAACCAGCAGAAGTATAGCTGGCAGGCTATTGGCCCGTGGCTTGCTTTGGTCTCGCTGATGAGGAGTTCCGTTCAGTTTGGCCTGTTGTTACGTTCGTATGGTCTGCGTTGTCCTGCATTTTTGGTAGTCAGTTGACCTCTCTCCTGATGTACCTTTCCGTTCGCATTGAGCTGTTGGGTTGGAGTATTGCTCTAATCGCCATCACGTTCCCTCATTGAGACAGGAATTTACAGCTATACTACCCGGTACCCTCATCGGGGATGTTACCCAACCGAAAACGACATCTGATGGCATCGAATTAACTCCTACCTCCTTTTTCTGATGGGTTACCCATTACCACTCTAACGCAGTAGTCCAGAATCAAACATCGTCAATCAATTTAGCTACGAGCGACTATTAGAACCGAATGAACATAGCTTTCTTCTCTCCGATACTGGAGACTAGGGCGTCCTATAACAACACAACGGAGTCCGTTAGGCAAGTGTCGTTTGGTGTAGCTCACTAAAGGGCGGTGTCTCTTTAGCTTCACGCTGCACAGTAACTCTACGCAGTTTCCTTACTGACGATTGATTGAGGTGCGGACTATCTTCTTCCCTGGCTTTTTCCATGCTGATGCTCGCCAGAAAGCTCTGGGTTTACCTATGTAGCGAGGTCCGTTTTACGTGAATTGACGACTACTTCACAACCTTTCGCAGCACCGGCTCTCACGGCATTTGTGAGCGCCTGAGCTGTACTACCTATCCATTTGTAGTACCTATAATTTGTTTACCTAAGTTAGACTCTAGGATAGCAACCGACTCCATGATGTCTGTAACTCTCACAAAGAGGTGGAAGGTTATATGAAGGAGGAATTCACCCTTCATTTCACATGAACCATCATTTACTTATCGCCATATGCTCCCGACGCATTGAGCGGGCCTATTGCTTAAAAGCTCACCCCTCGTTATCATGCTGAATCCACTTATTCGGGTTGTTCTAGCTCGAGAAAAATCTGCAAAAGCTTTACTCTCGCTGCATGACTTAGCAATCATATTAGTCAAATTCGCACTTGACCTGCTTCTCCGAAAAGTAGCAGATACTGACAAACAGACTACGTTATTGAAATTTTCTCCGTTGCTTTACTTGCACTGCGTAGCGCGCCTATAGTAGTGCAGATTAAAGGGCTTAGGGGACCTTACGCGAACTATGCTTCGTGTTTTGGCTAAATCCCTCTCGCCCATCGACTCAAGTGAATCGAGAACTTGCGTTATTGCGTGGGCTGATATTTCTGAACGGGGTTGCGTACCGAATGTTAGGCTAGGATAGGATTTTAAGACATCTTTAAGGGAAATGTCCTATTGCAGGGAAAGGGGATCCATTGTGTTGTCGGATATTGATAATTATTGAAATCACTTGTGGTTCTCTGGACATTGCACTGATGACATCTGTTTGTCTGGTAAGAATACGCTTGCAATGAAATAGCCAAACTCGGAGCAAATATCAACACAGAGCCTTTCTTACCAACCAATCCCACGGTATGCGACAGATATTGAGGTCAGGTCGCCTGAACGTTAGCTGAAGCACCACTCAGCTTCGTTGTCGCCTCATGTAACACTAATCGTAATTGGAGTGTTTTTGCTGGATGATGTCATAATAAACCGAAATCATACCTGGGGCGGTACTCTATACGCCGGTCGCAGATGGGTGCTGATTGTATGAGTGCGAAGGAGTGCGCCACTTGCGATTGTATTTTGCAGCTTATCCCTACAGTGGGCATCCCGCATCGCATTTTTCTCTCTACTGTGACGTGTGTCTCTTGCTTGGGCAGGCTTGACCGAATGGCTTGTTCGGTCGGCTAGCAGCACCGCCCCTAGATTGTACATGCTGCCATCAGCCTAACACAACCGGTCTAGAGTTAAGCCAGACGTACCAGTGATAATTCGGTACCATTACACGCTTACGCCATTTTTTCTTAGGCTCACGGATGTGATACCCAGGAAACGTTCAGATAAGGTAGAAGGTCAGCTGCGTTGCCTGTAGGTGATGGCGGGTTATATTCATGTTTATGCAAGGTATGCCTTCAATAGCGTGATGTGTAATCTAATAAACGGTTTGCTCAGGTTTCAGAGAAAATGCGTGTGCATTCCCACATGCACATTTCTCCTCGTTTGTTCGACCGACGTAGCAGTTGTTACAAGCAAATTTAGCAAGTCCTAGACATGCTGCAAGCTACTTTGCACGCTGCTTTCTTCAAGGGTTGTAGTTCTAGGTGTGTTTGCAAGTGGTTAACATTGAACAAATAGCATTACTATCATCTGATTTAAAGAAAAGAAATGCACCAACAGTTGTATGGAATCGGCCGGTTTTTTCTTCTCTTCTAGGCATAGTAGCGGATGGCTAACGTCCCAGTAGGCACCCATTAGTAACCTGAACGGCGAACTGTGTCCACAACAACCAACATTATGGTGCTTGGCAAGTGAGCCACGCGAGCTCCCCACTAGACGTTGGTAGTTCATTCCAACTAGTTGTTTGCCTTTGTCCACGTTACTTCTAATGTTCTGTCTACTGGATTAGAAATTTTCTCCTTCATATATTTGCACTTGACCTGTTACACACATGCGCTCAGGCTGCGGATCAGTTCCGCTGCCCTCACATCATGGGCTCGTATGGTTTTGTATATTAAGTAGCCACATCATATTGCGGATGTTTTGTCTGTTCATTCAAACGCGAAGGAGTGCTGAGCCTCAAGGTTGTATGCAAATGTAGAATAAATGCATTTTGGATTTTAAAAATCGTGCTCGGTCGAGCACATCTTCCCAAGTTATTTGCTAACATTATGGTGACTTTTGCTTCAAGAACTACATAATTCTAATTGATCGTTGTGTACCTCCACAGATCATGAGTCAAAACTGTCTACCAGTCTGCATGTTTCGATGGCAGTTGTACACATCCAAGGTTTATGCGATTGGGCACTCGATCGGAAAAGGACGCTCATGTTTAGTTGGGGGTTACTTTGAAGCGTTCGTAATGTGAGGGGATTTCGACACTCAATTCCAATATGGACCACAATTCCCTTCAAAGTGAGGCTCAATCAATTTGATCACTCCGGCCGTATCTGCAACAAAACTGCTACATGTCATCCGCTCACAACATCGTACAACACGGTTAGTATCGTACCCGTTTACAGTCGTTAAATATAAATAGAAGCACTACGGGTCAAACCCGGCTGTTAGTGCCAACTTTCAGTGTTCGAGTCACAATTCTGAGAACTAGTACGAAGCCGGTCGGGGAGTGGAGTGTTGTGAGTGAACAACACCCGACTTTTGACGCTCATGTTTATTGCTAGGACACAGTACAGTATTCCTATGCTGTTCTTGCCATAGGTCCCAATAGTGTGATAAATATGATATTATGAGGCAAACAATTGTTTTTGATGATTCATCTACGGGTCTATCCAAATTATATAAGGTTAAAATACGTAGGTAAATGGACTGTGATTGGTTCAGATGTAGGTCATTGGTTAGACAGCAGCAGTTGGTCGCTGTCATGCACACAAACATACACACAGATGGGTAGGTTTACGTAATCAACCTGACGACACCGGTGTCAGTGACGGATAGGTTGAGTGCTGTCCGGGCACGGCAGGCAGTGATGGAACTTTTGTGAGCATAACAAAGGTAGGAATAATCAGATCCCAATAGCTTCTGCTGTGGTGTGCATTCGTGGACGCAGACATTTCGAGTTGTTCAAGGGCATCTGGTAAACCACAGTAAATGCGTTCGGAAGGTTAACCCATTGACGTGATTCGAATAGGTGGGAGAGAATTCCGCTTGCCAAAACTGCAGTACCTCCATTCGCCAACCATTTAGGACTATGTTTCTTAATGCGATGTGACAACTGGCAAGCTGTTCGACCTATGTATGTTGCACCACAGGTGCATTCAAATCGATAGATTATGTAGGAGGTCAGCTTCGTCAGTCTCTCCCGATTGCATACGGGAATAAGCGGTTTGGTGGCAAAAATACACCGCAGTTCCGCAGCTGAAGGTGCCAGTTTTCTTGTTATAAGCTCTGCAATGGTATCGCATTTGAAACCAAGGCGAATGAAGAGAGCTATCTTTTCAGATGCTTGATCAACGTTTGATGTTATGTTGAGCTGCATGTCGCGCTGTATAAATCAATTCCGATAGCCATTTTCACGTAGCGTGTTCTGTATGGATTTCATTTCGTCCTCTAGAGCATCTTCAGAACAGATCTTCCGAGCCCTCGTCGTGAGGCAGCGCACTAATATGTGCTTGTATTTAAGCGGCTCGAAACTGCTGAAGTTTCTATATTGGCCGGTCAACGTTTTCTTTTTGTTGATATTCCTTAAGGAGCATAGTCCTAAATGCTTCAATAGAAGATGAAAAGGTTAATTTTCATTCTTCGCCGCCACAGTAGATCAAGTTTTAAGACAATGCAACGATCCATATAACAACGGGTGGTGGAATAACCTAGTAGACGTCATCAAGGCTTGCTCACATATCGTTCACCTCCGCAGCTGTACTTAAGTGGCTGGTGTCTCTGCGCGCGTTCAGTTCCCCGGGTGCGGGCGGCATTCGCCCGAAGTTGTTGAAAGTTGCTGCCATGAGTTTGGCAGGATCATTAGCAATTTTCTTTCAATGATGTCTGAACGAGATGCACGTCCCCACGATGTGGAAGCACGGAGTCTTCAAGCCTATCTATAAAAGTGGTAGCCGTGCTGAACCAGCAAACTATTGCCCGAAAACACCACTGCCTATGATCTCCAAGATTATGGAGTCCATTGTAGCTGAAGCT